AAAGAACTTTTAATCTGCAAGGGTTACTTTTATGGTTTGTTTTCAACCTAGTCCTTCATTATATGTCCAAAGTCATTATCTTTGTAGATGATACATGGAGCTGTGTGTCTGTCAGTGTAGAGTTTTGAACTCATCTGAAATCGGGGTGGTTATGATCTGTGGTCTTCATGTACCTGAGTTGACATTGATTTCCAATCGTTCACAGACATAAGTGCCTTCATAAAAATAACACTTAGGACCTTTCCTCATGACCTGGCTTTTGCTGCAGACATTTTTGGTTCACTTTTCTTATGGTTTCTGACCAGAAATTCTTTCCTGAGTATATTTTTCTAGAGGAAATACTTTCAGCACTGTGAGAAACTGGAGGGAGGCTATTTGCTGATTGAATAGACTAGGAGAAAAGCATCAATTATTTTTAGACTATAATCCATTCAGCATATGTCACACAGCTGTGAGTCAAGTACCAGTGCAAGGTCGTGACAAATATGCTAGTTAGCTGTTTATGTAAGGTCCTCAAGCTGTAATTGCAGTGTGTCTGCCTTGGGAATCTGGCTAGCACTTCGTTATCATAGGTGGCATCTAAGATAAGCCTCGGTGACAGCAGCTGACTAAGATTTCTTCTGAAGTCTCCTTCCTCCCACGACTGTCTCATCTTTTGGTGGTAAACACAGTATGGTGCGGTTCCTCTGTTTTCTGGTGTACTGCAAGAGTGTTGGGATGGCTCTTCATACTGCTTCCCCAGTTCTCTCTGGTTTCTTTGGACCGTTGGCACACAGATGTTTCCACTTCTCCTGTCACATATGACGCTTCTGCAAAGAGCTTTCACCACAGTGGTGTATTCAGTAAACCTGCTACACAGGAGTTTTGCAGAGGCAGGTGAGAACAGTGCTGATGTGGAGCATCAGATCTGAATGTTGCCCCAAACATCATCTCAGGGTTTTTTTGTTGATGGATTTGTCACGAAAATACACAGCTTTATAAAATTGGTTTGGTTTGGGTTTGTTTGGTTTGGGGTTTTTCTGTGCAAAGGAAGTGTTTTATGCATTAGTGATTTATTTGTAACAGGTGGAGAAGCAGAATCACGTCTCATATTTTGAAAGATGCTTTTTAAAATAGTAATAAGTTTTATATCTCTCTATTTTCCTAAGAATGCCCGGGGTTAAAGCTGGTGTATCATTTCCTGTGCATAATTTATTGTTCTTTCTTTGTTGTTTTATCAGCTATCATTCAGGCTCCCCAGAGACATGGTCATAGCACCAAGCCTCTCAGAGTTCAAGGAGTTTGGGATGATGATCATAGTCATACGGTTTAGTTTTAGGTGGCCTTGCAAGGAGCAGGGATTTGGACTCGATGATCCTTATGGGTCTTTTCCAGCTTGAGATGCTCAGTGGTTCTAGAATCCTACTGGAAAAGCAAGCCTTTTTAATGCAGTGCTAAACTGCAGTACATTAAAAACAAAGAAAATATCCTGTAATGGTGGAACAAGGATTAATGTGTTGGCTTTTAATTTTTACATAGTGTCTACCCATGCAATTGCAATCTGGTGTCTGGAACAACTGAATTCAGATTCAGTAATAGACCACAAACAGGAAATATGTGCATGTGTTTATAAGGCTTACTTTGCTTAAGAGTATAACAACTATTTGAGTGGGTTTCCCCCTCTTCCCCTTGTTCCTCTACATTGCTCATTAATGTCTGAACTGATAAGCTATTTGTCTTTTGCTTGAACTCCTAAATGTTACTATTCTCTACAGCTGAGTATCTTTTCTCACATATTTCTATGTAATGAATGTTAATCTGGAGAAAATGAATGCACTTTGGTTGGTTGAGCCATATATGGTTTAGATGGGCTGTAGTAGCTGATTGGGGTGAAGCTCATTTGGGTTTGCCTTCAAAAGAAATTGTTTGGAACTTCATGGCTTGAAAAAACAATCAGGCAACATGGTACAAGCTCACATTTTATTCCAAGTTCTAGAATGGGCTGTAAGATGCTATAGGTATCAGGAGTCTTCTGTTTGATAAGGGTAGATTTACATGTTAGTAAGTTCTTGCCTGTGAGGGTGCTGAGGTGTTGGCGCAGGGTGCCCAGAGAAGCTGTGGCTGCCCCATCCCTGGCAGTGCTCAAGGCCAGGTTGGACACAGGGGCTTGGAGCAAGCTGCTCTAGTGGAAGGGGTCCCTGCCCGTGGCAGAGGGTTGGAGCTGGAGGTCCCTTCCGACCCAAACCAGTCTGGGATTCTGTGATTCTGCAAATTGAAATCACATCATCCTGTTTAAATGTTATTGGTTTAAACACATAGCTAGCCTCATTTGTGTTTGCTTTGATAGAATTTGATATTTACAGTTAAGAGTCATTTGTTGTAGTCCCTCTTGTGTTTGCTCCTTCCCTTCTTATTCTCCAAACTGTAACCTAGAGCTCTCTCCCTCCCCTCCAGTGCAAACCAGCTGGGTGGGAGGAGCAGGGAAAGCTCCAGATCTCTGTGACTTGAGTTTGCAGCTGAGCGTGCCAGAGGTAGGGTTGTGCTTCTGCTCCTTCTGCTTCTCTCATACTGCAGTGATCATTTGTACCGAGCCTTCAGAGGGCAGGAAAAGGTAAATAAACAAAGATGCCGTTCTTTTGTGTAAAAACGGAGCTGCTTTAATGAAACACTTTTTGAAACAGAAACATTCATCTCAGACTGATCTACAAAATGCTATAAGGCCTTCTGAACTCAGTGCGAGTTGAGTCCTATGTACAGCCTTTCCCTCAGTAATTAGTTCCCTTTATTTCACTGCATTCCCACTTCTCACGTTCTCTGTCATGAAAACAAAACAACAGCTTTTTCAACATAACTGTTGGACACCTTAATGAAAACTTAACTGGAATATTGAGGAAAAGCCAGCAATATTCAAGGTATTGTTTTTCCAACTGTTCACCTGTGCAGTCTCCATTCTCTTACCATAAGTCATGTGAGTCATTTTCAAATGAAAATCCAGAGTTGTACCAGGCTGTATTTCTGCTCTCACTTTTCATATGACACGGACACAATTTCAAGAAGTAAAAATAAAATGCTGTAAAAATAATCCACTGTTGGTAATACATCAATGCCACTACAGTAAAAATCTTGATAGGGAAATAACATGCTGGCAATGCTGTGTTGTAGGCAATCCTTTTCATAGGCTTTACCACTGCTGAATCTCAGGGAAGGTAAAACCTCATTCTGAGAGGGGTTTCTGTACAGTTTTTCTTGCTGTATTTACTGATACGAGGAAAAACCCCAACATCTTTGTACCATCCATTGCAGGAAATTTGGCCAGATTTATGCCCAGACAGAAATCAAAGTGGACGTCTGTTACTTTTGACACACCTCATATGGGATATTTTATGGCAGGTCAAATATAAAATGTTTTTATGGCATACAATTCATAATACAGTTTGTTCATAAATATCAAAGAAAATGTATTTTTACAAGGTACATGAAGAAGGCAATTCTCAGTTGGATTAGTTGTGTTTAAGATCTGATCACTATAAAACTGAAACAGAAACAGAACTATGTTGAGTTAAAAAGCAGGAAATATCTGTTTGCTGCACAGTGCTGTTCAGAAAACACCACTGCATCAAAATGGATTTGGAAACAAATGCTCCACTGTACATGTGCTGAATAGTGATTAGCCATGCTCTTGATTCAGCCTTTGTATGGTTATTAAACTCTTGCAGGCTTGTCTAGGAGTGCTTTTGGTTTGACATGAGGAAATATGGCCTCATTTTTAAGTCTTCCTGTAAATTGGTAATATAAATGCTCAGCACTGACAGTAAATAGCACTGTCAGTATAGGAGCTGCAATATCAACTCTTTTTGGGAAGAAATGTAGCCTTTGTATTTCATTTATGTAAGTAGCCATGGTAAGTCTGTGGTCCAAATTAGTGCTGGGTAATTTTTAGTTTGCCTTTAGCAAAGTAGAAAATGAGCTGGGCTTTACTTTTGGCAGCACAGATAGATGGTGTTTTAATTTAGGATTGTAAATTCAAAGAGCAAAACTGATTTCCAGTAAATAAAATGAGAAATATTGACTATTAAGGAATAACGGCATGCCTTCCCGTTGACACTGCTCCGTCTGTGCTTCATTGGAGTTGTGTAAGTTTAGCCACCAAAAAAGTATTTATTCTCACAAGAGCATTTCAAACCAGTCCTTTAAGTAGGGATTCATGCAAGTGTCAAACATTAGAAACATGAACAGAATATGTCACCAAAATCATTCATACAGTTGGTTTTTAACAAGTATACATTGTATATCCAATGCAGCATAACTCACGGTGTGAACATGCTGAATTTCATGTCCAAACTACTACTTCATCAAATTTAAGTGCGTAGGCACCTCCATTCAATTCCATTTAAGATGTGCATATCTTCTTTGCAAGTTGAAGTCCCAGGGATTTTATAAGGACCCTAAAGCAAATAGAGTAAGGAACTATTTGCAAAAGCGGACCCTTGAACCAATAGACAGTGACAGCTCTGATACCTGGTGAGCCCATGGGCTGGAAATGTCACACTGGTTAGCAGGAATGAGCACAGTGTTTAAATAGACCCGATCTAACCAAAGGAGAACAGAGCTGCCTAAATCTCCACCTGTTGTTCTGAAGTCTCCTGTGAGGAATACATGAGAGTCATTTCTAGCCAAAATTGGGATGAAGTAAAAGAAACCCAATGAGGGAAATCGGAGAGAGCAGAATACATCAGAAATGGCAGCTATTGCAGATTCACACCCTGCGTGATGGGTCTCATCCAGTTTATGGAATGAGCAGTTGTATAATTGTCTGAACTTTGGCATTTACTGAAAGAATTTCTTAAGTTTTACCACTGTGAACTGAATTACTTTTGTAACTGAAATATGTGTGAGATTAGTTACTAACTATTCTAATCGATTCTTAAACATTAAGACACTAGAAAGCAAAGTACATTGTAACACTTCTCTAGTTCATGAGTTACCAAATGCTGTATGACAGAGTATGATGGGTATTCATGAATCATTAACGTAAATTTAATCTATTCAATATGATCGAATAGTTGAGAGCTTAAAAGGAATCACTTGCAGTGTAAGTTATTCGGTATCTATTGTATATGGTTTTTACATGAGTTTCTAAAGCCAAGGCTTTTAACAGTGCTGAAATACAATGACCTAGTCACATATTTAGAGAGGCATTATCAGGTGCTGCAGCTGCTGTGATGCCCCACATGGTTTCTGTAAATATATGCAGTTTTAGCCTGTTGTTACTTGTGGAGGTTCCATAAAATGCTGAAGCATTAGAACATGTGGCTTTTCTTTCACCAAAATATACCTAGTCCATAGAAATATTGAATTGGGTAAGAGGATTTTGATTATCAAAGCTGTTTCTTAACTTAGTTGTCCATGAAATTGCAGATAAAGAAAGCTATGACTTAAGTAATATACAAAATACAGAGCACAGATTGTTTAATCAGGAAACTGTTCAACTTGTTTCAACAGATAAGGAGATAGAGGGATTTTTTAATCTTTTTTTATAACATGTTGTTATAACACTTTACATATACACTGTACAGTAATTCTTTTGTATCAGAAGGCTTTCATACAGAAAAAAATAGTTCTATAAAAGATTCTGTAGTTCATCAGAAAGATATGGAGTGAAACATGGGGCCGGAATGAAACTCTTACGCTGTAAGTTAACAGAAATAGGGTACAAAAATCTGGCAATTCTTTTGTTCTTGTACATTCATATTGGTTAAAGCGAAACTTGTTGTGCCTTAGAGGACACAGAGGAGCATTCTCAGCTTGAGCCTCTCTGTACAAAGCGTAACTTTACAGAGTAGCTGCTTCCAGGAGATTTGTTCCTCATCTTGCGTGAGTGCCAATTCCACAGACCCGTACTTTAGCTGTACAGGACAATTTGTTTTTGTTCCTAAGCAACAGATACATTAGAGGATGGCAGTTCAAAGCTGTGAGCGTGCAGTGTTTGATAGAATTAGCCTCCGAGGCTTTCTAGAAAGTGATGGGTTTAAGGTTCGCTGATATCAATAAAGTCTTTCTCTGGGGGAGGACCACCTCGGTACCAGCTGCAAGTGCCATCACTTCTCTTGATGCAGGCATAGTGCTTGGCTTGGTGCCCGTACAGCTTTCTTTCTATCAGCCAGTCTGTCCAAAGGCACTCGTTCGGTGCAGTGATGGAACAGGGCACCATGTAGCAGGTTGTAATCTAGAGGTGAAATAGGGCATGGAGTCAGCATATTGCAGGTTTCATTTAAACAATATTTATTCTCATGTAATATGGAATAGTTCACATACAGTAGAACAGCTCCCAGCAGGGAGAACTGCTGGTGCCTGTGAGGGGGCTCCACTGTTTGTTAGCCAGGGTTTTTGTTCTGTACTTACTTTGCAGCCACAGCCCATTTGGTATCTCTGATTAAGACTCTTCTTTTGAGACAAGGATAAATCATCCCATGGTTCAATGTAGTTGCATAAATGGATGAAGACTTTACCATCATTTAAAATTTGGCCTACAGTGTGGAAAATGAGAAAAATCAGGCAAGCAAATAAAACTGTTTTCTGAATACTGAAATCAACTGCAAGAATACCGTATTAAGAAAGCCCTATATAAGTTATGGAAAACCTATAGTGTATAGAAATCCTATGTAAGTTTTTAACTACACCAAATTGGTCATGTTTCACAATTTTTTCAAGGAATGTCGTTAGACCTGAGAGAACTCTTTTGCTGATGGGGCTAAATAAATGCAACAGGTTTAAGAATGTGTTTCAGAAGATGCTGATAATCTGCCAGCAAGAGCTGGATGCAAATGCAGCAGGAGGTTAAACTAGCTTTCAGGGCTCCCTGGAAAAATCCGTAATAACCCCAATCTGCATATGTGTGGGCATGTGTTGTCTCATTAAGCATGTCTGCCATTCCTGGGAAAAGCACTGCTGCTGGCTTTAAACAGATAATGATGCCATACTTCCTAGTTACTAATGGCATGGTTACTGACCTTCCTTTGAAACTGCTTTAAGCTTGCTGAAGGATGGAAACCAGGTCAGATCCCAGTGTAACTCCAGCTTTACACAACTGTACATTTCATTGTGCTTGTGTTATTTAGAACATAAATATTTCATCACAAGGGCTGGCATATTTTTGCAGTCAGTCAGAGCAGTTACTTCTGGCTTTAGGTACATTAGGTTTTTTACACTTTACCTGTCAAAAGATACTGTTTTTTGTTGTTAGCTTCTAGTTTCACACCGCAGAGGGATGAATCAAAAGGGGTATAGACATACTGGACATCCTTGACCTTTTCAAATCCTTTAAACATCTGAAAATGATCAGACACAGATAGTCACTGGTGGAAAACAAACAGGAATAAACAGTTGCAAACAACAGCTGAAAGAAATACATGGTGCATCCCTTTAAGAAAGGTTCCAACATCTGAACTGATATGAGGATATACCGACAATTGGACCCCTTTCCACACTAAATGAAATGTGTCCATTGTTTTTCATTTTTAGAAGGAAATTAGGTCTTATTTTTTTTTTCAAATTATAGGGGTTTTAACTGTGCTTTTTCAGTGGTTTTGACGGATTTTAACAGCTTTCTCTTCAATTTATTTTCTAATGGCATCTTCCATTTACAGAATGATGCAGGGTCAGCATTCATCTCCCAAACCATCCTTTGATTCTGTGATCTTAAGCAAGGTGCTGCAGCATCATGTTCCACAGCCAGAATTTTGCCCAATGCAGCCTTCTCAAATAACTGTAGGCAAATGGGATCCAACTCTTGGAATTCCTAGCCTGCAGTGCTAGGGTGGATGGGTTCAGGATCAAAGCCTGTGCAGTGTTCAGGTCACTGCTCCATAACCAGCGTTTCCAACTTTGACAAGAATTCTTAAATAAGCCATTAGATCAAAACCAATTTACTCATGTCCAAAAGCGAGGAAGCACCATAGGATGCTGGTCACCCTCAGCATGGCTGTCATCTCCTAAGATGAGCTCATGGAAAGCCCAGCACTAGGGTGACATTGTGCTGTGTGCTGACAGCCACAGCCATCGGTCACAGGGCTCCTGGGACAGCTGTGTCACTGGAAAATGAGGTTACTTGAGTCCCCCCAGGGGATGTAAATAGTACAGGGCTCTAGAGAACACACTGCAATGTGTTCATTTGTCTGAAACCTTATTTATGGAATAAAAAAAGCCAAAGTTGTTGTCATTGGACTTCTGATCCAAAAAGATTAGATGTGAATTTGAAGTACTCTAGTAGGAAAAACAAACACGCTGAACCTGCCGTCTTTGACACTTGCATCCCCTCCTTCTGCTGCACTTCAGTCTACCTTATTCAGCGTGTGGGTGCTAGACATGGGTGTCTAGTACACAGTAACTATGACAGTATTGTCTGATTTGAGCTCTCTCTACATTAGGAAACTTGGGGTTGGGTTACAGTGTATAGTAGGGTGCAGCTTTTCTTTTAGTATCTCAGTACTTCATCTAAATTAAGTTAAGAGGCATTATGCAGGTAACACAAACTGATGTAGCTATTAAATATATATATATATATTTATATCTCCACAGCAATGTATAATGGGGATCTAGTTAATATTTAAGTGAATTTGGTGTTTGTTTTGTTGGGTTTTTTTAAATCAAAGACTGAGCTATCTCTGCTTTTAACATAGATGTTTGTTAAAGCATTTCTTAAGATGATAATCTTTTAACTCATAATTCATATTTGATCTTCTCAGCTCCTGCCTCTTCTTGAATCTCTTCTGGCCAGAAGTGAGAAGTTGCAGGGTGGGACTATTAAAACCCATTTGTCTTTAGACTAAACCTGCATGTAATGATGCAGAGCATCTTTTGCTAGAAAACACATCTCTCTGATTTGTCCAGTCCCAGCTACTTGCCTTCTGAAGCTCAGCAGAACTAAGTAAAGCTCTCGTACTGATGCCTGAGTTTTGAACAGGCCTTCACTTAGAAAACTTTGGGAGAAGCTCCAAAGCAGGTCCAGTGTATAGATCTGTATCAGAGATTTCAGCATGCTGTTACTGAATGGTAACACAGACTAGACTTCTCAGTCTTTTTTTGTAGTGAAGTACAAGGCTATTTGCATTTCTGTAATGTTACTGAAGTATTGCAGAGTAGCAACAGAAGATTCAAGTGCTAATGGAAGGAAAGAGAATTGCTCTGATATGTATATGCTCACTTCTGTAAAGAAACGTTTCGAAACATCCTTAATACTTTAAGACGATAAAAGTGGCAGATGGTGAAGAGTTTGGGGGTTTGTTTTAGCAAGGTAAAAAGAACTGGCTTGTGAAAATCACTATAAAAACTTATCACAAGCTATGTGTGGTAAGCACCCCTGGGAATATTTTGTGATATTCTTGTTTACCACAGGTTCTTCTTACTAAACCTCCTGTGAGATGATCAACTGATACAGTTTTAAGGATTGCTTATTTACTGTTTAAACAGGTAGTATTCATAATGATCTGCTAAGTGTTTGCAGTGTCATTATATATATCTGTATAATACAAAACAATACTTTGTGGAAAATTAGAGATAAAACAGCCTGGGAAGCATAAGGAACAAAGCCCAACCCAACAGACAAAATCCCCACCAACACACATCAACAACTTCTAACTGAAAGAGATGACCTGTTTCCTGTGTATTCCCAAAACAGGTATTTCATGATCTGTTTTACATCAGTGAGAGGCAGCTGGAGACTCTTCCACCTTAAAGCCTTTATGGACTAGACTATAGTAATATGCATAGGTTATCAGCATTGAAATTCAAAATAGCTTAGTGATTCCATGTACCTTTATTTGTTTGATTTCATACCGGATCATTTTGTGGGTATCAAGAGGATTATCGCTGGCAGGAACCACCTTCTCACTGGATATTTTTGCTCGAATCACTGTAATAAAGAAGAAGATTTAAATGCAAATAAGTATATGCCTGATTTTAGAAGCAAAGGCAAAAAACCATTAACAGGTTTTAGCATTGTTTCACACTTCACCTAGAAGTAGATTTTAAGGCTTGAATCCCATAAAATTGTATAAACTATCATCATTACAGTCAGTGAGCAAGGGAAATCGCATGGCTATTGGTGATGGAAGAACTGTTGATCAGTTAAATAGACTTGAAGTTAACCCTCTGAAAGACCATGCCAGGCAAGATGAAAACATCAATTTTGTGCATGAAATCAGATGACAAGAAGAGAATCTTCTTTCATTCACTTCTCTGAGACTATAGATTTTGGCACTTTTCTTAACACATCATTAGTTGTGTTGACCTGTATAAATTAATTAGCCCCTCATTTCCTGTTCTTTAAACAAGGAAAGCATGTGACTTCATGGAAGAGGCAGTTATTTCTTTCCCAATCTGTTTGTTTGAGGCACCTCTCTTGTGTATGCTGTTTTAACATACACCACGACTATTAGGCACAGAGAATAACAGGATCCTAAGAACATGATATATGGCAAAATGTTCTCTGGGGACTCCTCTCCCCGCAGAGAATTGGGAGTCCTGGTTTTGCTTGGATTCTGGATGCCACTGTTGCAGCTCCTCTGCAGATGCAGTACTTGTTAGAACAGGCTGTATCTGCAGGGAGATAGATATGGACTGGAGCAACCAGCAGTCAAACCTTGGACCCCACTTCAACTCTATGTCTAATTTGCTGTTGGGCAGAGATGGATCTCTGCAATGACATCTGCATCTGCAGGGACCAGAAGTATCCTTCAGTAGGAGAGAAGCTCTCAGACTCCTGTTTTGTTTTGCTTTTATTTTTCATGATGAAAGGGACCATTTCTGTCAAAATTAGCATGATGCTTCATAGAGTAAGTTCAGTTAGAAGGAGCCTGTGGTGGTCTGATCCAGCCTCTTGCTCAGCTCAAATCAGGGCACTCAGGGCTGTATCCTAGCTGGGTGCAGACTGTCTGTGAGCATGGTGGTTCTGCAGCCTCCCTCAGCCCCTGTGCCAGGGTCTGACCACTCTCACAGGGAAATCCTCATGCTTCTCATTCCCTGAAAAATGTCTCAGGCTGATGCAGATGAAAATCTGGCATCAAAATCGGGCTTTTCCAAAAAAAACCCCAAAACATTTCTTCAATGTGTTGACCACTAAACACCATACCTAAAGGAGCAAGAAACACAGATTGCGGTTTTCCTTATAGCTAAATAGAGGTCAGTTCCACCCAGTAACGGTCAGTTCTCATTTCCTCACTTATTAACAGACCAAAGTAGATGTAATAATCAACATACTGCAGATGCCAACAGCTTCAAAGCTTGAGTCCTCTATCTTTTGGCATGATGCTTCCTCCTCCCAAGCCATTTAAACTCTTTTAAAGAAGCATTTTAGATGTACGGGTTGGATTGGAAGGAAAGAGTTCTTTCAAGTATGAACAGCAAATTCCTCATTGCAAATGGTGAGTGGCAGCATCTCTTTAATCATCTGCAGATGTGTTATGTTCCAAAAATTAACAGTACTTCTTAAACATTGGATCTAATGCAGATAAGTGTTGTGGATTGTGTGTACTGTGCTGCTGCAAAGGTCAAATTAGAATCATGTTGGTTTGTTTTGCAATGCTTTCCTTTGCATCATGACTGCCTAAAAAGAGGTCTTCTCATTAAAGAGTTCATTTAGTGTAAAAGGTAAGGGCTGAGACAGCAGCTAGGTGCAAGCTCCATTAGTTTCTTAATACCATAACATGGTTTATATGCAGGAAATCTTTTCCTGCCTACTCAATGCAAACATTTGTAGGATAATTAAAGCTGCTTCCCCCCTTGTGTTTTAATATTAAAACATTACTCATTTTCATAGTTTTATTAGATTCCACATGTTAGCATCTGAGAGAAACCTTCCAGATGATCAGTGATAGCTCAAAGGGTCTCCATGGAGTTATGCAAGGCTGAAAGTGTAACGTTTTGGGGGTTGCCATTAAGGGATCTTTTTCTGAGTATGCAGAAGAAAAGTAAAACAGTTCTATGGTGTGTGCGTTTCACTCATTTGTTTGTGTAAGAGAAAGCTTCCAGATGGGGAAGGAAGACCAAACTGAGATTTATTTCAAAGATGGGAAAGTTTTATTGTTACAGGATGCCTAAATCTTTAGTTAGTTGGGGTTTACTTTTCTGTTCTCCTGAAACCAGACTCAGATGCACACAGATCTTTTTGGGCCTTTTAATTCTTCTTGGGTTTCTTTTTCTGTGCTCTAATATTTTTTTGCAATCAGTGTCGTCTCGCTGTCTCCTGAAACCTCTTATTCATGTGGTTGCTTCTGTTTTTAACCACAAGCACTTCCTGATGTAGCATTCCTGGGCCCCGCCATCTCCCTCACTCCACTCGTGGTTCAGATGGTGGTTATAACTTAGAATTCCTCCTCGTCTGCACTTCTTTTCACGACATGGTTCCAAGTATGCCATGACTTGGCTTCTCCTCCGTTCGACCGAGAACAACCTGTGGTTGTTTGGTGTAATAATGTCATTTTATCTTGGACTGTTATTGGTTCCTTATGAGAAATTTACATGTATGAAATACATCTGCAGGGTCTGCCTGTTCTAATGCCAGTCATTCAGTCTGCTGCAGATTTGTTCTGCCTTAAAAATATGTATGGTTTTCCAAAAGACATAGTATTTGACTCCAGGATTCCAGTGGTGGGACGTTGTGTTTCTGCTGGGCTCCTATTTTAACTCACAGTACTTTCCTACAGTGTAAACCTTCCACCCCACTGTGGAGCTGAAGGTTGTCTCAGGTGACTGAAGTGGAAGGAGGCTGATGTGGTGGAAGCCACCACACAGGGCTTGGGCAGAGCCTCAGAGCCTCACTCACGCTGCAGCTCTTGGCTCCCACGAGCTATGCTGAATCCATAGTGGCAACTTGCTGCCTCCTTCCAGCAGGCATGTGTGTTTCAGCTGTAGCCTCCAGTTTACTTCAGGCTCCGTTAGCTATCTAGCTACCTGAGCAGAAATTTAATCTTTACTGCTTTTAAGTGGTCTTTGTCTCAAGAAATCAGGGAATTCTGTTTCATAGCACACAAGCCTTATAATCAGCATCAGCTTTGCTACAAGAACCTGGAAATGAGACTTCAAAAACTACGTTGACAGGAAGAGAAAGGTGTAAGTTACTAAAAGGTTATGAACAAGGTTGTAATAATGACTCATGCAGCTATTTTTTTCTTACATTTATTGCCTCACTTTAGCCGTTACACTGAGTTACATAAAACATGAGGAGTGTTTTTAAAGCACTTATTTCTACCTGTCTCTTTAATGCCTGACACTTTGATCAAGGTGTTGCCAGACACTATTGCTCTCATAAGGACAAGTGGCACAAGAAGAGGTATCTAAATCAAAGTGTACTGTCATGTGGTGGATGGGTTGAGGACGGCATCTTTATTATTTATGGGAACAACAGAAGAAAGCAAAAATAGGTGTGCAAAAATAGAAAACACAAGTGTTTTTCTGAAATTACTATCAGTGAGAGTATGCAGGGTGAGATAAAGTAGAGCTATGGGCACATAATATGTCTGTATGTCAGTTTGAAAGCCCCTGTATTCAAATGAACTTTCATCTACAAAAATACGTCCTTTTAGCAGAATGAAAACATTCACGTGCACAATATACAGCTGTTTCTGCTTAGCCTTCTGCTCTAAGATTACTTAAAACTTCTACCTCCCTGTCTGTCCATCTGAGCTTTTTTGGGTTAAGGGAAATATCTGCACAGGAACAAGTGCAGGAGCCCCATCCACAGAGATGTTGAGGTTATTCAGAACCTGATGTTTCAATTCAAAAATTCTTCATGTCCAAAAGCCATGTGGATTTTTTGTTGGGGAGGAGGGTTTTTTGGAGGCGTTTTATTCTCAAAAGCATATATAGACTTTTTCTCAAAAGACGGCAGTGAAAGGTCTGCTTTCTGGATCTGGCCTCATTGCAGACACTTCTGGGAGATCCAGCACTATTTTCTATAACCAAAGGAAGTAAATATCAGTGCATGCAGAAGTTGCTTCTGTTCCTACACTCAAGCAGTTCTGTTGCTCTGGTCATAGGCTCCTGAAACCATGGTTGGAATGGGACAGAGGCTCTAGTGCATCTCATATGCTCACTGAAAGTGTTTATGAAAAGACTATCAGAATAGAGCCCAAGCTGTTCGTTTGGAGCTGTAAAGGTGAAGTTTCTAGATCCAGCACAGGAAGCAATTGCATAGTAAAGCAGGAGACAAGTGTAGTGAAGCTGAGCTCTGCGGGCCACCAGGGGTGCTCTGCAAGTGGCCTTTCCTGCACTGTGGTGACAGGCTTGTGTGGCTGCCGGGTGCCCTTCAGTATGGAATCTCCATCCTTCAGTCTGAATACGGGAGAGGGGAAGGACTTCTTCTAAAACATATGTAAAACTGTCTTTATGCTCTTTTTGCAGCCCTCACTATGAAATGGGAGTTATCTCCATTCTTAGCTGCATGTCTCACTGGTGCTAATATAACTTCACAGCATCTGATGAACAGATGCTTGTCTGTTTTTAAAAGCATTTAAATTAACTATAAATGGCTTTATTAATTTTATTTGCTTTGATTTATTTTGCAGTATCATAAGGGAAGCTTCCGGAATTGATCAACTGCTCAGTGACATAGTACTGATGACTTTCATTTGAATATTGGGCTAAATTGCTTTGCAGTAACTAGAGACTGCAGTACAGTGCTGGTAGTGCCACAGGTTACAGTACAGCCAGGACAAAATCCAACCAAGCATTACATTGTCTTCAGAGTGTTCACCTATAGAATTAAGAATGGGCTTTATTAACACCCTGCCACTGCTCCTGTATCAGTGATCAGTGTAATCCAGGACCATCCCCTCCTTGTAGTATACAAGTGCTAAAATATTTTGTATTCTGTAAGAGAAGAATGGGGGCAATTTGGCCAAAAGAAGACAAAAG